GTGTTTCGTGCATGCATGTGTGTGCTGGGACAGAGGCAAAAAAGTTTGGGGAAACAAATTGTATTCCACAGCCGGAGACACGAATTCTCCTCTCTAGTCTACCACTGATTCACGATAAGATTTTGAGCAAGTCATTCATCTTTCCGCATTTCACTTTTCACATCTGAAATGTAGAAGGAACTGCCAAATAAATACCTCACAAGGGATAGTTAAATAGGATGCAGAAAACCTGTTGAGCATTTTTAAAGGAAGAAACTTTGAAAGCTTAAGGGATTTCTCATTCGTTTGAGTAACTGTTCCTCACAAAGAATTTTTTGAAAAGGGGATCTTTAACTTACTAGTTCACTTGTAATTTCCTTCACATATTTAGTCCTACAACCATAATCAATCCATACGCTACTGCTCTCCTTTCTTGCTAACATAGGGGAAAATCTACCCATTCCTTTTCCCCTTGACTTGCTCATTTCTACCGAAAGGAAAGTGTCAGTTGTTAAAGGACATAATTTAATATTAACTGGGTTACAGTTCAGATATTACTGAAATATCAGATGTTACTTTGATTTGTACATATCATCTATCTAGTTTCCAAGGTATCTCTCACGGTATTGTTAAGGTCAATATCAAAACTACCTAAACACTGATAGCGCTTCTTTGTGATTTCCGTGGCTTATGTTGGAGTGAAGTGGTCTGTTTTTTTTCTTGTATGTAAGATCTGCAAATTCTACTTGTGCTTTCCTAAGTATGAGTACATTGCTTGCTTTGTCTTGTTCTTCAAAGTTGTTTTTGCATTTCTGGAAGTATAATAAGCAGAAATACAGAGAATTAGTATTGAATCATTAAATGCCTACTCAATGCTTAGTTCTTTTCTAGCCAATGTATTATTTAATCTTCACAAGAGTTTGTGAGCAAATGGAGCCTCCCTAAGTAATTAGGCTTGGAGAAATTGAATAGTTCCTAAATGTTTACGTAACTAGCAAGTAGCAAAAACTGTCTTATCTCAAGAGTCTCTGCAATTCAAAGGAGCATGGGTTCTGAGTTTAAAAACAAAATTGTTTGTGATACGTAGTAAACATTTCCCCTAGACTGCTCTTCTAGTGTACCAAAGAGGTTTGGTTTTATGTTTTTTAAGAAAGAGATCATGTAGTGTCCTCTGCTTTGTTAAGCCCCTCTGCACGCTGAGCCTAGCTCTGGGGGACAGCAGGGACAGCATCACCTCCACCCCTCTACCCACAACTGGGAAGACAAGTTGCCAACATTCCTAGAGCATTAACTATGCACTCGATACCATTTTTACCACTTTATATGTATTAACCTATTTAGTGCTCAGAATAACTGACTCTGTGAGGCGTATGTACTTCCATTATTCCCACTTTATAAATGAGGAACTTAAGACAAGGGTTAAGAGTTAGGTAACTTGCCCAAATCAAACAGCAGATTAACTTACCATTAATTTGGTAAAGCTTAGGTATGAACCCAGGTGGTCAAGGCACCCACCCTGTTGTTCCACCGTACCAGGCTTCCTCAGTAAATATTGATGAGTTGTAGACTAATGAAAGAAATTCTGAATAAGTTCAGCTGAAAGGAGATTTATTAGGGGAACATAACATAGCTCACTGACTAAGTAGGAAGCCCAGAGAACCAAGCTTGTAAGACAAGTAAGAGGAGTAAGAGAGATGGAGGCACAGAGGATGTAGCCAGATTGTGCCATAGGACGTTTGGTCATGAGGCCACTGTGGGTGCTGCTGCCACTGGCCAGCCCAGGGACTATGCTGTTGGCTGGTGGCTGGGTGCTGGCCTTTTAGAATGGCTACTGTTGTTGATGCTACAATAATAGAGGAAATCTCTAAGTGTTTCTTCGTCTTTGCATCACTCTGGAAAATTTAAAGGCTGGGGTAGAAGCACTCCCCTGATAGAACCCAGGTCACATGCATGAACAGGCTGGATTTGGTAAGCTTTTTGCTTTAATTGTTCTGGTATAGTCTAGGCAGGATAGTGACAGAATGAAATAAGTACTTTTCAGAAGTTGGACATTAAAGATTAAGATTTTTCTCAGAAAAATCCTGTTATGATCCTGTTATGTGGTGAAATAGGTCAGTGAAATGGTTTTAGAAATTGGCAGTTCAAGAATCAGAAGGCACTGGTTGCATATTTGTTAAATCCAATTAAGCTCAAGTGGCCAGTTGGGTTCATTCTGTTTGGGTCATGGATAAAGAGCATAACTTCCACATGGTTGACAAGTGGCTGAGTCATAAGATAGATTTGTTTTTTTCCCTTGTTAATTTTGACTGTACTTAAATTCATTGGGTTTCAGAAGGTAGTATTCTTTAGAAAAAGGGTGGTGATTTTTTTCATAAATATGGTTGTAATCAATGTTTTAGGAATTTGTTTTACAGATCAAAATTTACTTAACAAGTGCTGTAATAAAATATTTTCAGATCTTATCTGATGGCTCACTGATTATAAGCACTAATCCGTGCAATAAAGTTTTGGTTTGGTATAATGAGTTGGTTCAGGCCAAGAAACAAGGCCGACACGATGGCTCATACCTGTAATTCTAGCACTCTGGTAGGCTAAGGTGGGTGGATTGCCAGAGCTCACAGGTTCGAGACCAGTCTGAATCAAAGCAAGACCTTGTCTCTAAAAATAGCCAGGTGTTGTGGCAGGTGCCTGTAGTCCCAGCTACTCTGGAGCCTGAAGCAAGAGAATCTCTTGAGCCCAAGAGTTTGAGGTTGTTGTGAGCTGTGACACCATGGCACTCTACTGAGGGCAACAAAATGAGACTCTGTCTCAAAAAAAAACAAACAAAAAACTTGACATTTATCACTCAACACCTATGGAAACTCCTTGTGTTAGAATTCTGAACTTAATAATAATGATTAAATTTTTTGAGTGCATGTGTCAGGCAGGATGCAAAGTGCTTTATGTATATATGTCTTCTCTTCTAATCCTCACAATAACTTTATAAAGTAAATGTTATTATTGACACGTTAGGGATAGAAATGAGGCTGAGAAGAATAACTTGCCTAAGGTCCCATAGGAAGTGACAGAGTTGGGTTTTTAAATCTACATTTGCCTGCGTTCAATGATGTAGAAGAAAATCATTAATTAAATCTCATGTTAATGCTGGATTAGCATTCTGGAATTTTGAGACCAGGAGATTTCTTCATCATTTTTTCTTAGAGAACAGTTTTCTCTTTTTAGATTTCAGTAACTCAAGAATTGTCCCAAGATTCATTCTCTGAGTTAGGGGAATATAAATTATTATTGCTACATAGTCTGTTGATGTTTCTAACATTCTTACCCAGGTTGTCATATTTGAAGTATAGATAGGATGATTTTCTCCCAGGTTAGGTTGATGGCCAGGGTATTTTAGGCAATGTGACCTCTCAGCTCATCTCTAAGACTCAAAATGCCTGTTTTTAACGATTTGTGAGTATAGACAATCAGTTCTTGAAGAACCTTTTGTGGGTACCATCTCTCAGAGGCAACAAACTCTTAATTTACCAAGCATCTTATAGAATATTTGCTTCTATTTGTATTCAATTTTCACTTTTAGCTTAAAGTTAAATTTGGTTTTCTAGGATTCCAGAAGCAAATTTTATTTTGTTTGTTATCATTTTTATGGTTTTGACTGAGTTTGCTTGTTTAAGACTAATATTTAGTCTTTTTTTTTTTTTTTTTTTTTTGCAGTTTTTGGCCGGGGCCAGGTTTGAACCCACCACCTCCAATATATGGAGCCAGCCAGTACCCTACACCTTTGAGCCACAGGCGCCACCCCTAATATTTAGTCTTTTATGTATACTTTAGTAGACCTATGAATTATACAACTCTCATCTTAGCATTAAAAAATGTCCTGATTTGAATTTAGTTCACATGCTTATAAAACTACATTCTTTTTATTTATTTATTTATTTTTTTGCAGCCGTCATTGTTGTATGGTGGGCCCAGGCTGGATTCGAACCTACCAGCTCAGGTGTATGTGGCTGGTGCCTTAGCTGCTTGAGCCACAGGCGCCAAGCCTATAAAACTACTTTCTATGAAAGATGTAGACATACAAAGAAAAGAAAAAGCCTTGGTCTCCACAGTATAACTACAGCCTCAGTTCAATAAGTGGGGTGGCCAGCCTGATACGGAGTAAAGGCCAAATCCAGTGGAATCATTGGCAAAGGACTATTTAGATCTAGTTTTCAAAAATGTAATGCTCATTATATTGGTTTTACTAGTTTACTAAGATTCTATTATCATGGATTGAATATGAAATGTTTCTCCCCTCAGTTTTATGTTGTGTATACTTTGTGTGTGTATTTTTAATCAGGCTGCTCTGGCTGCTACGTGGAGCCCTAGAAAGCCAGGGTGGTACCTGGATCTGGGGTCAGGGGTTCAGAGCTTGATAGACTCAAAGCTGCATTTTGGAACCCCTCTACAGATGGCCTTGTACACACATCTCTAATACCTGACCAAGCTCAACGTTTTTTCATCAGATATGTAGGCACATAGTCTGGTAGGTAGTAGGGCAAGCTGTCGATGTCTTTATTATCATTAGCAGAGCTCTCAAGAAAAGTCTGCTTTATATTCCAACAAAAGAACTTATTACATATGGAATGGAAGAATTAATAAGGACTTTTCATTACTTTGCAAAGTAGCATACCACTATACACATGGTAGCTAAGTTTGGTTTTTCTTATATGTAACTATCATTTAGAAAAGGTAGAAATTATTTATAATTTGCATGTCATTATAATGTATTTAAAAAGCTCCATGACTCTGGACCTCAGGCCAGGGCTAAGAAACAGTTTCATGGTAGCAAACTAAGTATTCCTTATAACAGGATGTGAACTGTGACAGGATGCTGTAGGCAATATTAAATTGGGGTGATTTTTAGAAAGTGACAAATGTTTTATGTTTCCTAAATCTGAAGTGGGTTCCACCAGCTCTAAACGGCTGCCAAGTTATGTTATCACTTGCCTGCTTTGTAACCTCCTCAATCATTTTCTTCCCAGCCCTGTATGATGAGATTCGTCAGTTTCGCAAGGCCTGTGGGGAGGCTCATCTGAAAACCATATTAGCCACAGGAGAACTTGGATCTCTTACTAATGTCTACAAAGCCAGTATGATAGCAATGATGGCAGGTAAGTGTTCTATATTCAAATGATGTTTTATGTTGACGTCTTTAGGAGAAATGAGTAAGTGAAAGCACTTAGCTGTTATTAAAAGTGCTAACCGCTTGGCATCTTTTTGTATGAGGTGACACATATTTTGTGAATGCATGTTATAATGTGTACCGGTCAACAAGTCGTCGTCTACATTTTTTGTGGTATTTCATTGCTGCACTATTCTTACAAGGCAGTAGATGGCTCTCTTGTTAGTGAATTGCCTTCTGTTTTATTCTTTGATTATTCATTCATCAACATATGTTAGACAGGATTTTCTTTAACTCTGACTTACTCCTTTCTGTGAATTTAAGCTTTTGATTTTTTTTCTCAGAGATATGTATCCCTACTATCTGAGGCAGCCTCTTCTTTTGTTTGCATTAATTTTTAAAAATTCAGTGCAGTATCAACTTTCAAATGTAAGTTGACTTATTCTTTATCTCTATGAACAGCAGGTCCATCCTTTTAGACATTGAAGCCTGAAACCCAGAGTCCTGTTTGATTCCTTCTTTTTCTCACCCTTACAAAAATCAGTGAACAAGTTCTGAGAGTTGTTGCAAGACCTCTTTCCTGTGTCTGACACATCTCCCCTCCATCCTGAGTGCTCCTCCTAGGGCCAGTGTTCTCCCTGTGATTTCCATCAGCAGGTGTCCCTGTCTCTACTTTTGTCTCCCTGCAAGCCATTGGCCACCCTATGGCCAAAATGATCTTGTAAAGGTGCTAATTTGGCTGTGTCCTGCTTAGTTAAAATCCTTCAGTGGCTTCCTCTCATCTTTGAGATAAAGTGTAAATACCTTAATCCTTATTTTTTAAAAAGTCCTTCCTGAGATCCCTGCCTGTGCCTCTACGGTCTCATTTTCCCTTACAATGCATTCTCCAGCTGTGTAGCATTACTTGCAGTTCCCTGCAGATGGCACTGTGGAAGCTTTTGAATCTGTGCCCCCTGCCTGGAATGCCCTTTGCCCAAGTAACTCCTTTATGTCTTTGGGGTCAGCACAGATGTCATCTTTTTAATTATTGCTTTTTCAGTTGTAACAGCTGTTAAACAGCTGTTTACTGCCAAGGCACTGTGCTAGATTTTATAATGAATGAAAAGACACAGTCTTGGCTGGGCATGGTGGCTCTTGCCTGTAATCCTAGTACTCTGGGACCCAGGCAGGTGGATTGCTTGAGCTCAAGAGTTTGAAACCAGCCTGAGCAAAAGCAAGACCCCGTCTCTACTAAACATAGAAAAACTGAGGCAAGAGGATCACTTGAGTTGGAGGTTGCTGTGAGCTATGATGCCATGGCACTCTACCCAGGACAACAGCTTGAGACTCTGTCTTTAAAAAAAAGACACAGTCTTTGGAAAGTATAATATATGAAAGTATCCTGCATCCTTCTTTATTCACAGTTTATACTTCTTCTTTTTTTTTTTTTCAAATTAATACAAGGGTACAATTTTTAGGTTACATTGTTCCCACTTCTGAAGGAAAGTTCCATTTGTAGAAGAGCCCCTCACCCAGGTGGTGTGTTATACACCCTCACATTAGGTGAGATCCCACCTCTGCCCTCCCTCCTCCTGCCAGTCATCCTCTCCTTTCCCCTTCTTGCTTCCCTCTACCCCTGAACTAGACTATATTAGTGTGTTATTGTTCTTCTGAGCGTGTAATTGTTTATATATTGATTTCATATTAGTATGGAGCACATTGAATATTTATTTTTCCATTCTTGTGATACCTTAAGAAAAATGTATTTCAACTCCGTCCAGGTAAATGTAAAAGATGTAAAGTCTCCATCTTTTTTAATGGCTGAATAGTATTCCACGGTATACATATACCACAGTTTGTTGATCCATTTGTAGGTAAATGGGCACTTAGGTTGCTTCCATGACTTGGCAGTTATGAATTGAGCCACAGTAAACATTCTAGTGCAGATGTCTTTGTGGTAAAATGATTTTTGTTCTTCTGGGTAGATAACTACTGATGGGATTGCAGGATCAAAGGGAAGGTCTACTTTTAAATCCTTGAGGATTCTCCATACTCTTCTCCAAAAGGGCTATATTACCTTGCAGTCCCACCAGCAGTGTAAAAGTATTCCCTTTTCTCAACATTCATGCCGTCATCTGGTATTTTGGGACTTTGTGATGTAGGCTAATCTTGCTGGGGTTAGGTGGTATCTTAGAGTGGTTTTGATTTGCATTTCTCTGATAATTAAAGATGATGAGCATTTTTTCATGTGTTTGTTGGCCATTTGTCTGTTCAGATCTCTTGCCCA